CGTGAGAACCTACCCCGTGCCGCGGCAGTTACCTGCTGGAAGGTACCTGCTACTGGGGCTAAAGCGTCAATCTGATCCTCAGTGTTGTTCCACCAGCTCTGGACCACCTGTCTATGCATGCTGGGGGCCCCCAGGCCCAGCTTGGTGTTGGAGGAGCAGACACATAAGGGACCCTGCTCTCAGGGAGTGAAGCTGTGGTAAAGGCAGTATCCTTTCTGGGGTGATGCTGAGGGCTGTGACCTAAGAGTGAACAGAGCCAGTACCAGCCTCCCTGCTCTACTGGCTTGGTGTGTGTCCCCAGGGATCCTGGGGAGCCAGCACAGCTCCTGTGACCAAGGGCAGGCAGGAGTGGAGCACCTGGAGCCCTATGTGGCCCTGGGCAGCAGTGTGGGGCTCAGCCCACCTCTCCATTCAGCTTGTCCTGTCTCCTCTTGCACACTCGTCACAGCTGTGTCCTGAGCAATAACTTCTCTCTTCTGTATGTGTGTATGTACGCACATGCGCATGTGCACGTGTGTGCTGCTGCCTCGTGCTCGTTCTGAGCCAGGCCCCCCGGCGGGGCTGAGCACCTACTTGGACCTGTGGTATCATTTGCTTGCCTTGCACTAAAGTTGGAAAGTATTTAAATTTTTAACCTTTTCTTAAGTCTAAGATTGGCTGTGCCTTGTGTTGCTGTCAGGTCAAGGTGGGGCCTGTGCAGGCCATGCAGGGTTGGTGGTTGGAAGGAGGAAAGAAGCAGGGCCCCCTCTTTTCCCATGGGCTCTGCTGGTTCTACCCTCCAGGAAAGGGTTGGGGCTGCCCTCCAGGACAAGGGCTGATGCTGAGCCCTGGGGAGCATGGGTGGCCCTCTGTGGCTTCTGATGGGTGGTTTGGGCCTTGTACTGTTGGGGTGCTCATGTCTGCCATGGTCCCCTGTCTGCCCTTCGCACAGCCCCTCCTGGGATATCCTGGTGTGCTGTGAGGCTGGGGATGAAGTCCCACTCCTCTCTGGGTGCTGTGCATCCCTGCTTCAGGGGGAACCGTGCAGAGGAGCATGAAGCACAGCCTCGGCCCAAGGGACAGCCCCTTGAAGGGGGCAACACAGTGAAAAAGGGTTGGGCTCATGACAAGTCACCATAGGGGAGCATGCAAAGGGGGTCAATGTGGTTGAGGTGGCTCCAGGGTGCGTTTGGGGTCCGGGGCGGTGACAGGGCTGCCGGTGGTGGCAGCAGCCTCATGCACAGCACGGGGGGGCTGCACACAGCTGCACAGGGATGAGAATAGCAAGTGCGGCTGGGTAGCTAGGGAACAGTTGCTATGGGAGCGGGCTGAGGAGGAGTTCTCACACTTGGAGGGGGCATCTTGGGGTAAAATCCAGGAATTTTCTGCAGCCATGGAAGGAA